GTTAAGACTTCCTTCATGGTGATCGGAGCGTTAGCGGCCGCCATGGCGGGCAAGAGATCGACGGCTCAGAATAGGCGAATTAGATCTGTAATCAGAAGTGAACCGTCGATTCGAAGGAAAGTCAACACCAGAGCGGAGGAGTGAATAGAGATCTAGAGCGTGATGAAACCCTAGAAATCAGAGGAAGAGAGAGATCTAAACGAGAAGACCAGTAAAAGAGAGGAGAAGAGAATAGAAACAGAAATGGGAGTGTAATGTTTACGAATGGAGAGATCTCATCTAATAAAGGAGAACATAGAAGATTATTGATTAAAAATATTTTTTTAATTTTAAAATATTTAAAAATAAAAATAAAAATCCTATGAAGAGGACAGAGACAGACGTGTTAAAATGTGCCTTTGGTGCTTACTATGTATGAAGCATTTTGTTCACTTTTGCTCTCATTATAGATGCCCGGATTCGGATCTGACCCGACCCAGCTCTTTGTCTCAAGTCTTTAACTATTAAGTACTGCTTTTATCTTTCTTTTGTAAAGATATTATATTAAGAATTTAGTTAATTAGTCATTAATCGTCTTATTTAACTTAAATACTAAATATATATTTTACACTAATTTCTATATTAATATATATTTTACACTAATTTCTACATTTTTATAGCGATCACAACACTGTAATAAATGTATATATCACTTGATAATTAATGATAAAGTTAAGAAAAAATTTTATTGAGTTTATAGTAAATTAATAAAAAAAAATTGTCTCCATTATTAGCAATAGATCTAAGTCATATCACCTATGATCAAAATCATTTAATAACTGTAAATATATGGTTTTAAATATTAAAAACAATTTTTTTCCATTGTAATGCTACATAAGTTATATGATTTTTTTTTTTAAGTGTTGGAAGAGGGAATCCAAATCTGTATCTATTGTCAGGTCGTATATATATTTACCATTAAATTATGCCTTAATGTGCAGTTATATGGTGATTTTTTAAGTTCTTTCTTCCCCATTTTGTCATGATTTTGATTTCAATCATTATATTTAAATTTGAAATCTTAAAAAAAAAAGGCATAATCACAAAAATTCCTTTTTTTTCTTTTCGTTTTATCAATCATAACATTTTTCTTTTTTGAAACCAAGTACGATTTAAAAAAAAATAAAATATGTGAGGAAAATATAAAAAATTGTTTTTTCTTTATTTAAAAATAGCAAGCAAATTATTTTTTTTTAAAAAAAAAAAGGAAAATATGCACTATTTATGATTTGCACCTCATTTTCTAGATATCGTTACTCCAAATTTTACTAGTATCTTGCTTTGTCTGTCTTGTCATTTACGTTCTTTTTGTCCATTGTAATAGTTGAGTTTTTAACTCATTATGTTGAAATATTACTACAACTTCCGGGGACTTAGCACTATTAAACATTTGATATGAATGATTTAATACACCTAGGCGATAATTTTGCCAAATCTAATCCAATAAGCTTAAATCATCTTTGCAATATAAATATATATAATAGTATATGCGTGGACAATGATATTCCATATTTTAAATTATTGACCTAATAAATAAAGTTCGTCGAAAAATATAATTTATTCTCACTCATATGATATATTAGTTTATTTTTACAATATATTATAAAAAAAAAATCAACTTATGACATCTAATTTTATGAATACACATTTTAACAATAAATTACAAGTCTGATTGCCATGGATTTGAATTTTAACTTTCATAAGCTTTTTTTTTTTCTTTTTTAGTATTGTAGGAAGGGGATTCGAACCTCAAAAACCAACAATATTACCTTGCATTAAAAGCATCGAAGCAAGGTTCAAGTTGGATTTGCATAGTGTGGCCATATAGATTTATCCTCTCTTTCACCTTTATTCCTAAATATTGAATCTAATTCTATAAATACAAGCCTTTTTATTTTCCTTCACTTCAAATCTTGGTCATGGCAATCACTTTAGTGCCAAGATAGAGTCACAAGAGTAAACATCTTGAAACTAACTTGACATGATAGTAAGTAATACTAGTTGGTCCATAACTTCCATGTCTTTGGGCAACAATGTGAGTTGCTCAAGTTTTTATCACCAAAAGAAACTATTTTCATTTTGATTTTTTAAAATTTAAACTAGATAACATATATGCCATAAAAAAAAAAAAATCAAATCAAATCAAAGTTAAAACTGAGTTATAAATTCTATGTATTCATTTGCATGCCTCATAAAAAGAAAGAAAAAGAAAAACTATGAATACTACAAGAATGCTTTGGTAGAGCTATTCATATTTTTAGAGAAGCCAATTCTTGTATCGATTTTCTGGTTAATCTGCCTTTATGGTCTTTGAGGACTCTCATTTTAGCAATCCACTATATTATAGGTGAGCATTCGGTTAATTCGACAAATTCGCGGTTAAAAAAAATTAAATGTTTAGTAATTAGTTAAAATTTTGGTTAAATGTTCTCAAAACAACGTCGTTTTAATTAAATAGATAATAAAATTAAAAATTAAAAAAACTTTCAATTTTATTTTGATTAAGTAGTGATTAATAACTTCGATTAATTTTTATTTTGGTTAACTCTGTTAATCATAAATTTCGGTTAATTAAGTTTTCATTCAATTTGATTAATGATCAAAAATTAATTTGGTCAAAACGGTTCGGTTAAAAAATTAAATTGATTAAGTTAAAAAAAATTCAACTAATATATTTCAGTTAAAAATTTTGCTAAAATTAACCGAATTGCTCGAATGCTCACCTACCTCACTGCCTTACCCTCAAGCTATGTCTATGCATATGTGTTATCATGACTACTTCAATAAAATCAACCGACCTTGCATTGTCCTTTTCCTTTTTCCATCTAGCACTTTTCTTTTTTTCTTGTTTTTTCTTCGCTTCTCCACTTACACAATTTCCTACAAGATAGACCTGGCAATAGGGATGAACGTCTCATCAATTTGGTTCAAACCAAACTACACCGATGCAAACCGAATAAATTTCAATATAGTTTGATTTAATTTGGTCCGGTTTAATTATTTTGGCTTTAACAAAAGTCGAACAAAATTTTAATTTTCTCTATTATAGTTGAGTATGTAAAACTTCAAGCCATACCGAAATTGTTTGATTTCAAATTATGCTATGCTTGGCTTTTTTTTTTTTCCAAATATTTGCTTATTGGATTTGCTGTTTTGCAAATTTTTCCTTTAGATTTTCACCATTTTACCGATGCTTTTTCTCAAACATTGCTTTGTGGGCTCTCTTTAAAAAAAAAAAAAACTCCTCGTGGGCTTTAGGCTTGAATTATGTGAGCAAACAAATCGGCTTGGCCCAAATCATCAGGCAACAGTATTTTGCTATGATGGATCATATATATATATATATATATATATATTCTGTTTTATGCTTGGACTCTTTTCTACAAGCTAGTTATATGCAATGCACAAATTTAATAAAAAAATAATTATATATATGTTTTTTAAATTTTTTTAATTAACTTGAGGTGTATATATTTGCTTTTTCTAATACTTCTTATGAATTAATGATTTGAAAATCAAATTGTTAAATTCATCTCCAATTTAAATTATGTGATAATTCAATTGAGGGAATCAATGATAATTGTTAATTTTGAATTAATTAATGAGTTTTTAAAGTTTATTTGAGAGTTAAATAATTAATTCTATTCATAAAATTGAATTATCTATTAAATTAATTGTATTGAATTGTTTAAACATTCTTCAGTTGAATATAATTAATGATGAATACATTTTTTACTATAATATAAAGACATTATATATATATTAATTCAATCTCTATCTCAGTAATAACTTGTAATTATTATTAAGATTAACTGTATTCGAAATTTTAAACGATTCTTCTAGTTGACATTATAATATAATGACTGAATACATTTGTACTAATAATATTAAAGACAATTAGATATACTATATATTATATATATATATACTATATAAGTATATATATACATTATTTACTTGTCAAATTTACAGACCTGGCTTCAATTTTATTTATTCAAATCCACTATATATTAGTGAGCGAACACTGCGAACAATTTGACTTAGGCTAAGTTTTAATTTCTAGAACCAATGAACGAAAATACACGGGAAGAATATCTAGAAATACAGAAAAACCATTTACCCAAATATTGAAGAAGTTTAACTCGTACGAGCGCAGCTGCTAACAAAGACTTATATATTTACTTGGTCAAATTTAAACCTGGCTTCAATTTTATTTATTTCAAATACTATAATTAGTGGAGGAACACTCAACAATTACTAGCTAAGTTTTAATTTTCTAGAACCAAGAAAGAAAATAACGGGAAGAATATCTAGAAATAAGAAAACCCATTTACCAAATATTGAAATTTACTGTAAGCAGCTGCCTAACAAGACTGACTTGGTCTAACATTAACACTCAAAGAAACAAGAACTAAGACTCTTATAAGTCCACATCAAATTCTAACCATATAAAAAAAATCTTTAAGACTGCATATTGAAGGGTCAACTTTTAGTAGCAGTAGTAGGAAAATTGACTCAAATTATTAAATTAAATTAGTTTGATTTAATTTTTAAATTTTTTATTCGATTTTGGTTCGTATAAAAATGGAAATGAATCCAGTCGATTCAATTTTTAAAATCTTATAAATTAAGAAAAATAAAATAATTGAACCGAATTGAATTGAACTAAAGATTCAGTTTTGTTTAATTTAAAAAAAAAATTCAACTTGATTATGTTTCTTTTCTTTTTTTTTTTTTAAAAAAATCTATTTATGTCATTACATATTTATTAATTATATTTCATTACATACACTTAAAACACGATTAACACAGTTTTGACATAATTATTATTTATAAATAGTTCACATTAATTATTAATTCACATGTTATTATTCACCATTTAAACAAATTCATCAGATCATCAATTTTAGATGTTCATTTATTCATAATTTATACAGAACCATGCATATAAAATGAACTAGTTTAGTATATGAAATTGTATTTTATATCTTGGAAAATTGATTACAAAGCTCGCATAAGCTTCGAGAGATCAGGAACAGAGGTGATTTCTATATTACAGTCATGATAGTGTACATCAAAGTGTCCTTCCCACCAGTACACCATCATCAGCCACGGCCGCAGCCGCAGCCACCAAGATGATGAGGACATAACTTGGAATGGGCCGCCCTGTCCAGTCCACCCTTGTTTTAACTACAAGTTTCTTTGGAAAAAGCCCACTTGCAGAAGAAGCAAAATTGATCCCAATTCCCCCTCTCCAAGAAGTAAAATTATGGACTGAAATGACCTAATTGTATTATCAGTACACTTATATCATCAATTGAGCCCCTTCTTTGTGACAATTCAGTCAGCTTTTTACAAGCAGAGAATAGTTCTGGTTTTTTGATTCCTATGCATAAAGGGCGAACGATATCTACTGCCTCCTGATTAGTAACCTGGACAAATGGGAAAGAAAGAAATAAACTTTAGATCTGGGAAAGGAAAATTTTATGAACAAAAGTTTAGTTTGGTTATGAGAATTTAGAATTTACCTTATCCCAAAGACCATCAGAGGCTAAGATCAAGAATTCACAATCAGGTTTAATCCTTAAAACTTTAGTTTCTGGTTCTGCAATCACCCATTGTTTAAGATTTCTGTCTCCAATTCCTCTAGTTACAGCAAGAGTCCCTTGTATCCTCCAAACTCCATGGGAACAATCCACATAACCGCCCTGCAATAGCATCATCAATAAACATATGATCAGAAACCATTAACATATAATTGTAATAAGGACATTTCATACAGAAGCTTCCTTACCAGGGATTCAATTCTTTCTCTTTCGTCTTGCCTTGAAGGTTGATGATCAGAGGTGAGTACTTCTGCAACTCCTCCTCTGCTCATGACAGCCCGGCAATCACCGGCGTTGGAAACAACAAGGTCGCCGTTGTGAATCAATGCAGTCACACAACAAGCTCCGCCACCAACACTTTGATTTAAAAACTCTCTGTCTGTAGTCAAGTAGCCATTTTTAATTGCCATTTCAATTCCTTCCTCTTCGCATCTGTTTGATACCTCTGCCAATATGTTCTTCTGCAAATTCTTAGAGGCGAATTCTGCTGCCTTTGCTCCTCCATGCCCATCAAAAACACCAAAGAAAGCCTATAAACACAAAATTTTAATCATGTCAATACCAAAATCAAATATGAAATGGAGGCCTTTCATGCTAAAGTTAACAACAGGGAGAAAAAGAATCTATTTTCTCTTCCAATTTGTAATTTTCTAGGAAACCAAACAACAAAATCAGAATAATAAAGGGTACCTGTTTAGAATCGCCTTTGACATCAACAAAAGCAGAGTGACGATCCTCCATTAGCCCTCTCCTTCCTCGTTTACTATAAACAGAATACCCATCTCCTTCAACCTCTACAACTTCAATTCTTTCTTCCTCCTTTCTCGGCGTCTCTAAATCGAATCCCCAAACACCTCCGACCACCGGTATATCAATCTTCGCCGGCCTTTTCCTCTTCAACACTGCACAGGAATTAACTTCCAACCTTTTCTCACAAATCCGAGTCGCCAACGGAGATTTCGGCAATGCAGAAGCCGAAGATGATGATGATGATGATGATGATGAAGGTAATAATAACGATTTAGGAGATTGCGGTCCATGGATCGAAGGCGACGCACATGACTTGCAAAAGATGGAAGGAATTCTAGGGGATGAAAAAATCGGCGAATTCGGTATCTGTAACGCTACGGCGCCAGACATCTCGCTTTTATGATTTCGGTTCCAAGATGTTACTAAAATTTCGGTTTCCGGCTTCTCGCTCCTTCCTCCGTCTTTAGGTCTTCGAAACAATGAAGAAAATGTAATTGTTGCTTAAAATCTGATTAAAGCAGCTGCCTTTATATATATGTGGATTAAGCGCTAAAACGGCGTCGTGTTAAAGGTTGCGGGACTGAAATTGACCTGGAATGAACGCTGGACAGTTGTTTTTAGCTTTGTCTTAAAATTAAAAATTAACTGACGCTCATTAAGATAGAGCATAAGTTTGACCGGAAAAACAGTGGACGTTGAGCGGGTTAAACGAGTTCGGTGTTTTACACGCGCTTTGAACGAGAGTGTTGAGTTTTTGAGGTGAGTTTTATTATGGACTGATACTTTCAATGGTCAAACACGTTAATTTCTGGCGCTAAGTTGGAGACCAAGTCTCTCTAAATTATTATTTTTTTTATTTTTTAATTTCTAGGTTTAGGTAGAAGGGACACGTAGCAGATTCTTGTTGGACCACGTCGGTGGTCAAAATTCAGATTTTCAGATCGGTAACAAGAGATACACCAGATCACAGGTTGGTGGCATGTGCTTCTTAAGGGTATTTTCGTCCTTGAAGAAATATTGAATTATTGAGTGGTTGCTTTGCAGTTCTTCCATCCATTCATATCGAGTCATTGACAGATAGAAAAGCAAGTATGGAGGATCATATAAACAAATAAAAATTTATTTTATTTTGTGTTTGTCTATTGAAACAGATATTTAAGTAATAAAATTTTTAAATTTTAAATTTTTATATTAGAAGTAAAATTCGCTTGTAAATACAAAATATTTTCATTAATTCAATTCTCCTTTAATTAGAAATTTTATTATGATATTTGACAAGTTATTATTTTATCCGTTAAATTGTAGTCTTAAACTTTCAAATATATATATCTTGTAGACGAAATCTCAGTTGCTACATGTCATATTGCTTCTTGAACCGTTACGTATATGGAAATATTCTCATTTGATTAGGTAAATTTATGTTTCTCACATACATCAGCTGCCATAGAAGTTAGAACTATTCTTTCAATTCCAATTCCACCATAGCCAGCTCCTGATTTTCAATCATAACTCAAAAACCATGTGCTTGCATGTGCCGCATGGCTAATTCTTGCATATACTATATTTGGCTTGAATTAATCTTAAAGAAGATGAAGTCAATCCCAGCAGTCAAAGCTGAGAAATTCAAGGGATATCTTTGTTCGGTATTTCGTTTTAATCTAGTTGAAACTCAAAGAACTCACATTTTATTGGTGGAAACATTCAATATTTTAAGTTCATCCATTCAATTAATTCAGATTCGTATCGAATAAACTCATTTCAAAAATAAAATACTCCTTTCTCAATTTTAAAAATACTCGATATCTAGCGCTCTAACTTAAGACCTTTGCTAATTCCTCTTACCACTCGATGATAAAAAATTCACATTTTATCTTATCTCATGATATATAATTCTATAATGATAAGACAGATTATTACTAATTATTTCATATAATGAACTAAATAAATAAATAGATAAGAACAAGAAGACCAACAAAACAAGAACGGAGTTGCAAGTGTGACTTGGTCAAAGAAAGTCTTCGTTTGATGGTTTCCTCACTAAAAAAATCCAAATATAAGTTCTGAAATCTTTCTAAAATCTTTCTAAAATCATATGAACTTCTAAATAGACAGTCAAAATCAAAACGTCATGGTTTCCTTGCCGGCAAGCAAGCCATTGTTACCTGACTGGCTCAACGTATACTTCAATCCAAAGGTCTTTTTTATTAACACTAATTAGGTTGTAAATGAAGTTTGAACTTGTTTAACATTGCAATTTTTAAAATAATTTCATTATCAATAAATGATTTTATGTTTTGAAGGTGATAATATTAATAATACACGCATCTGGTTATTCTTCTTAATTATATGAAAAATAAGAAATTTCGAACGAGAGGTCTCGCATGTGTGAGGTGATATCAAGATTAATTTGAATTGACTTTGATTCGTTTAGAAAACATAATTAATTATTTAGATAATAGTAGATAGAAACATAGTTATAACCACAAATTTGAAATGTGATTAATCAAAATAGCATGTGTGAATATTTATAAGAAAAAGGAAAAAAATCTGTTTATATGGAGTTTCAAGATAATTTTACTTTTAAAATGAGAAGGGGGAATTTGAATTTCAGTTAATAGGAATGATATTTGAAATTAAGTTGAAAATTTTGGAACTTGAAAGAACCGAAAAATCCAATTAATACGTTGGCTTCATTGAATACAATGAACGGTCCATTCATTAACAAACAGAAACTGTTTTGCTTCCTATCAACACTGCAACTCGTTAACGGTGGATTGAATTTGCAGTCAGCCAAAGAGACAGCACATACGTGTACTTCTACTACTATGTTTCCAGAATATCAGGACACGTGTCATTCTAGTGTCACAAAAATTGCCTACGTGTAAAACCAGGACACTTCCGATTTTGCCGCATCATCCATCACGTGTCAATCAACCGATTGCCTTCGATCCCCACCGTTCCCTTCCCTCTATAAATTCTTGATTGCTCCGCTCGTTTCTAACCGTGCCATTGCGTGATCGATAAAGTGTAACAGAGCAAAAGATTAATTATATTGGTGGAGAAATTTGTTAGCAAAAAAGGGCAAAAATGTCTTCAAATCAATCAAGACAAGAGCTTGATGAAAGAGCAAGGCGTGGAGAGACTGTTGTCCCTGGAGGTACTGGGGGCAAGAGCCTTGAAGCTCAAGAGCATCTTGCTGAAGGTAAATTTTCTGTCATCACTCTCTTTTTCCTGAAGTGTTTTTTAATGGAACCTTAATTTTCATGTCGCATGTAAAATAAATGAACTATTTGTTTCATTTTAATTAATTTAGTATGATTTTGGATAGGGAGAAGCAGAGGAGGACAGACAAGGAAGGAGCAGCTGGGGACAGAAGGATATCAGGAGATGGGCCGGAAAGGTGGGCTGAGCACGACGGACGAGTCTGGTGGAGAAAGAGCTGAGAAGGAGGGCATCACTATCGATGAGTCGAAGTTCAGGACTGGGAGCTAGTGTGATGATTAAAACTATAAATGGTATTTTGTAGTAATAATAATAATAATGTTGGTAATAAAGTATTAGCTTAGCAGTGTACTTTAGTTTAGTAATGTAGTTTACATGTGGGTTAAAATGACTAGGGTTTAGCTAGTATGTGTGTTGTAACTTTGAGAGGGGTTTATGGTCGTTCCCTTTCTGGGAGGACTGCTAATACTTTCTCCCTATTTGTAAAATAACCTGCAGTATATATAATTACCTGTTGGTTAAAAAAAAAAAAATCTAAAATGATAAAAACTTCGTGATTGTTCACACTAAATGCAATTGGATTGATGGTCAATTGAATAAAAAGTTAAAAGTTAAAATGTATCGGTGAAATTAAAATCGTTCAAATGATAACATAAGATATTGCGTTTCACTCTTGACTGTTAATTTTGAGTTGCTATGAATTGAGAAGTCAGATGAATTTCAAACAACGAGAAAAACACGGATTTGACTTTAATATATAACTGCGGATAAGAATAACCAAAGTCTTCAACATTATTTTTCTCCTTCTTTCTTCATTGTATAACTTTTTACAGCCATCTGTTCTGGTTTTACTAGCTCTCTCATCACCATTCTGCTTTTACTAGCTCTCTCATCACCGTTTCTGTTCGTTTTCACTTTTTTACAACTCTTTCTAGTCTCATTTTACGAGATTTCTCCTCCATGGCTGGATTACTCCCCATGATCCACCAAACTAACCCCACTTCTTTGGCTGTTCCTTTCTTCTAGTTGGTATACGCATCAAAGAGCTTTTGTCTCTCTTTATGCAACACGTCCGGGCTTACTTGGTCAGTGGGTTTTTTTTTTTTTTTTTTTTAGGGCTTCAACGATTTATTTTCTCCTTCTTGCTCTTCGATTGTATTAACTTCTTTTACAGCCATCTGTTCTGGTTTGTAACTAGCTCTCTTCATCACATTCTGCTTTTTACTGAGCTCTTCATCACCGTTTCTGTCGTTTTCACTTTTTTTACAACTCTTTCTAAGTCTCGATTGCTTACGAGATTCTTCGTCCTCATGGCTGGATTTACTCCCATGATCCACCAAACTTAAGCCTCACTTGCTTGGCTGTTCCTTTCTTCTAGTTGGTAAGCGCTCAAAGAGCTTTTGCTTCTCTCTTTATGCCAGACACGGTCCGGTCCTTACTTGTGTTTTTTTTTTTTTTTTTTTCAGAGCAACCCACTTCAAACTGTCTGGTTTATATGCGCTTCCGTAACTTTCTTCTCCTCACTTTGCTACTTCAACGCACAAACTATTTGTATCGTTTGTGCTCTGTTTTTTCTTAGCTATATGATATTATATAACTCGAGACTGGAAAGAGTTCCTTATTGATTATGGGCGTCGTTCACTGATATTTCCTATCAAGTTCTTGGTTTTCTATATGGCTCTTCCCATCCAAACGCTACAAATCAACTTTTGAAGAAATATTTCTATTCTCTGTTTTTTGTTGGTACCAGAGCACTAGGATACCAGCAACAGTGGGTTTGTTCATCAATACAGCTTGGAGGATCTGTGAAGATTCCAAAATACCTGCTATTGTCATTGCTGTGGCTGTCTTTACTCTGATTTGTTTGCGCAGGTATCTTTCTAGTCCAGTCGTTTGAATGTATATAGTTTAGAGGGTGTAGTTTTTAATACGTATTCTTGGCTTGTTAGTGTTTAGAGGATACAGTTTCTAACATGTGATTTTGGGTTTACAGTATATGAGATAGTTTGCAAATTGTAAAGGTTTAGAGTATACTTTCATGTATACGGGTAACCTTTCTAGCTAGTTTGCAAATTGTAAAGCTTTGATGGGTAGCTTTTCAAGTAGTTCGCAAATTGTAAAGCGTTAAATTCTTTGAATTCTTTTATAGTGTATGAGTAGCTTTCAAGTAGTTCGCGAATTGTAAAGCTTCGGATTCTTTTGCAGTGCAAATTATACGGCGTTGAATTCTTTTACAATATACGGGTAGCTTTTCAAGTAGTTTGGAAACGGTAAATGTTGATGATTGATTTGTTTCTAATGAGAACTTTGAGTTTCTCGTTAAGAGCAACTCCAGGAGGGCACACCTACGAATGGACTTTATGTGCTAATTGTAGTAGTAATTGTGTTGTTTTGGTCATCAAGTATGAGTGAATTATCTTTGGCGACCTTTTCTGTTGGGGTTAGTAATCCCTGCAGGCTCTCCATTAGCAAGAAATCTAACATCCAAACTTGATACTTTTGTGTATGGCTTGCTAATTCCTCTTTTTATCTGCTCATTCTGCTAGCAAAGTTAATATCTGGGGCTTATTAGCTCTCAATTTTCAAATGGCCTCAATTGGTTGTGCTTTTCTGTTGATTGCAACTCTATTCTGTTTGTGCTCACATTTCTTTCCAAGAAGCTATTGCTCTTTCTCTAATTTTGGACACCTAAAGTTATGCAATTTGAAGTGTTGTCTATTGTTTAGCAAAATGATCCTAACCGTTTCTACTTTCTACTTCACACTATATGCCTCTGCCAGTACAATTTTAACTGTTTTAAGACACGGACAGGGCGTTAAATATTTTTTTTCTTTTTCAAGTGAAAACAAGTCTCTATATACAAGACGACAAAAAAGAGACAAATTCAGATAACCAAAGTTATAACCAAATCCAATTACACTTGAAGCTCCCAAATCCATAAAAGAGCCACTTATTTCGGCACAGACGTAAAACCAGTACCATACACCATCCTCACTATTTTAGGAACTAACAGTCATTATTTTCATGTGCTTTACCTCATCATCAACAACAGCAAGAAAAGCCTGAAACTCCATCTTATCTTCTTTGTGACTGCCATTCTCAATATCATCGAGAACTTTGAATTGAGATTCTTCGTCCTCGTCGTCGTCTTCTTTGAACTTAATTTTCTCGTAAGGCGGAACATAGTAGTGTTTATACTTACAGACGATAATAGCTCCAAACAACGTTAAGAGTAGGCTAAAATAGACATAATTACCAAATGCAACAAAAGTAGTAACATGCATTATCGTCCCAAGCAACACATCACAAAATCTAACGTCAGGTACAACCATCATGACTTTCCGAAAAGTCTGAAGGTCTATACTGACTAAAACCAAACCAATTAGAGCATACGACTGCAGCCAAATACCAATCGAATTAGCGGAGCAAATAAGAGAGTAACACAATTCAAAGCATTTTACTTTGCCTCCAATTTCAAGAAATATTCCGTCTCGACAACGACCGTGAGATAGGGGAAATACCACTGCACTGCAACATTGCTAAAGTATCCTAGACAAGTGAAGTCTTAGTAATCTGAAAAGACCATATCAATCTAATAAACTTGGAATAAAGATCGTTACCCATATCGAAGATGCCAAACCAACGCAACCCCAAGAAATTCGTTGTTGTCATTATAATTCTGCAGAAACAGAAGAAGAAGAAGAAGAAGAAGAACAGTAATGAGAAATTTGAAAACTATTATAAAAACTTGGACTCAATCGACCGTTAGATGCAGATATAAGAGCCTAAATATCATACGAGCATTCAATTTAAGAAGAAGGATTTGGGATTTTGCTTCGTGTATGCCTCACCGTAGAAATGGCTGCAGATGGCTGTTTTGGGATTTTGAAGTTTGAAGGGAAGAGAAGAAAGGGCAGGATTCAGGATTTTATAGGTTGCTCTAGTTACAAACATTATTTTTTATTGCTGGACTGGGTTGGGCTTTCTGTAAATTGCTTTTTTATGGTAAAAATTGGAAGAAAAATAAAATTAGTTTAATTTTAATTGATTATATTAAATTTTTATTTGAATTTAAATTCTATTAGATAGTTTATCAAATTTTAAATAGAAAATTTTCGATGTCTTTATTATTTGAAAAATAAAAATAATTTAATTTTAATTGTTTATATTAATTTTCGATTTGAATATAGAATCTAGATAGAAAATTGTCCAATTTAGTTTGATTTTAATTAGGAAGGTGTTCTATATTTTAATTTTTTATTAGTTAAAAAATAAAAATAATTTAATTTTGATTGTTTATATTAATTTTCGATTTGAATATAGATTCTAAATAGAAAATTTTCCGTTTAATCTCAATCTAATTAAAAAATTTTTCCGTTTAGTCTCATTCTAATTAGAAAGATCTCTTATAATTTAATTTTATTATTTGAAAAATAATGATAATTCAATTCTAATTATTTATATTAATTTTCTATTTGAATATAGCATTTAAATAGAAAATTTTTCTATTTAATATCGTTATAGATGTCTTATCAAAGCAATCTATATGTATATATTTATGTAGCGAAGATCAGTAAACGAAGCTATTTTATTTCTTTAGAATTAATTTATTATTTTAAATGAATTGTAATTAATTAAAATTTTTAAGTGATGTAAAGATAAACGCTATACTTTTTGAGGATAAGGGGACTTAATTTTTAATAGAAAAAATTAATCTTAATATTCATTATTTATAAGATTATTAGAGTCCAAATATAATATAAAAATAAATCATTTTGCAACATCTGATTATAATCTTTATAATAATTTTTTTTAAGGGAAGATTTTTTTTTTTGGAACTTTAATTTTTAATAGAAAAAATTAAAATCTTAATATATCATTATTTATAAGATATATGAAGAGTCCAAATATAAATATAAAAAATAAAATCATTTTGGCAACATCTGAATTAATAATCTTATTTTAATAATAATTTTTTTTAAAGGGAAGATTTTTTTTTTTTTTTGGGTTTGTTTTGTTTTCTTAAAAATAAATCATTTTGCAACATCTGATTATAATCTTTATAATAATTTTTTTTAAGGGAAGATTTTTTTTTTTTTTTGGGTTTGTTTGTTTGCATTATAAATTCCGCAACACGTTTCAGGACCAATTCTTTAAGGCCACATGTTTAATTTCAAAAAATACAATAATCAACTCAATTTGCCCTTTTTGCCCTCCTCTTCTATTCTCTGTTCTGACTTCTGAGTTCTGGTCTCTGCACTTCAAAACACTTCCTTCCCATACCATTAATTAAACGACCGCCCACTTGTCCCATTGGGTTATAATATAAATAATTATTATTTTATTCATTTATTTTCATTTTTGACCTTTTAAAATGTTGACCTTCCTGCCTATCCTTGGAAAATTTTGACCTTCTTTCTGTCATGACTTTCCACTTCTCAACCTATATATTCACATTAAGCATTTCATGTTTCTTTATTCTCACCATTGCCACCGCGATTTCAAGAAAGTCTTCCTTGTTCACACTTTTGCAAGAAAATGAGCGGTTCAAGAACTACTACGACAGCTGAAACAGCAAAATACAAAGGAGTTCGCCGGAGAAAGTGGGGGAAATGGGTGTCGGAGATAAGAGTTCCCGGAACACAAGGGCGGCTCTGGTTAGGTTCTTATTCTTCCCCGGAGGCAGCTGCGGTGGCTCATGATATAGCTTCTTATTGTTTAAGAGGACACTCGTCCATCGACAGTTTAAATTTTCCTGATTTAATGTTGCCCGCGAGTGTAAGAGGGGACATATCCCCTACGTCTATACAGAAAGCAGCTTCAGATGCTGGCATGGCGGTTGATGCGCAGATGATAATGAACAGAGTTGGGTCTTCTGATAATGAAGTCAATGGAAATGAAGGTAGTGGAAATGGTGCAGTTCTTGGTTCGGAGACAGAGCAGCTCGAGTGGGGAGATGTTGGTGGTGATGGTGGTCGTGGGAATTGGAGTGGCAGTGGAAGTCAGTCCGGAGACAGTGGAGACAGTTTAAACATTTCTGTTGAAGATTACTATTTTTAGTTTCTTATTATCTAGATTAAAATGGTGATCTCTTTATACATATAGCCTTTCCATGTGTATATACTATTTAGCTGTATATATCAATATGATATGATTATGTATTTGATTATTTGTGCTTTCTTTCAAAATGATCCAACGGCTAGGAATAAATTTGACACGATATTTAGAAGATAATTTTGCTTTCTTTCAAAATGATCCAACGGCTAGGAATAAATTTGACACGATATTTAGAAGATAATTTTTAAATATATTTTGTTAAACCAAAAAAAAAAAATCTCAAGTGCAAGTTGAGTATAAAATTGTATCAAATATTATAGTTGCTTATAGAAAGAATTCTATAAATCATTGCCCAAAATAAAAATAAATCATTTTGCAACATCTGATTTTAATCTTTATAGTTTACGAATACAACTAATTTATTCTTATTTTTTAAAAAATAAATTAAAATTTATTTATAGTTTACTGCCGTCAGATAATAAAGTTATTTGGTTCAATTTTTTGCATATTTTCCGTTGCTTTTGACTATAAATTTTCAAAAATATAATCAATCCAAATGTCAAAAGAGAGAGAGAGTGAAGAGATTCTAACAGTTAATTAGTATTTTTTTTAACATTTGATTCATAGTTTATTAAAAAAATTAAATTTTTATATTAAATATTATTTCTTAAAAGATTTAATTAGTATTTTTATTTATATAACAATTAAAATAAAAAACAACATATTTCCTTAATATAGTAAGTTACTATTGATATGGAAACACTTCTTTCATATCTTTTACACATATCATAATTCCTTTTTATTTTCCCTAATCTTTAATTATTTGCCAAATAATATACATCTGTTATGTATATTTACAAACATCTTTCCAACTACGAAATTACCTTTTTTATTTTAGGAAAAAAATATGGAAAGTTGGTAATTAGCTGATTAATATTAAACTTAAATATTGTAACAAAGGTTTTAAATTAATGAAATGCCGACCCAAATAAACACGAATTAAATTATAATAATGTACATAGGTGAAATGGAATTAATACATAATTTATTTTTAAACTTTGATAAAAAAAATATTTTTGACACGCTAAATTTTAAAATCGATCTTGTACTGTACCGAATTTCACCTTGTATAATAATGTCACACATTCTCATACTAATTTAATATTTTTGATTTTTATACGTGAAATATTGTTTTGATTCGTAGTTAATACACTTTTTGAATAATTATTTTTATAATTTTTAATTACCAAATGAGTGTTCAATTAATATAATTAATTTTTATAAATTAAAGTATTCGATGAATCATTTAAAGTGTTTAATAATATAATTTAATATATTAAAATATTCAATAAATTAAAATAAAATGCGTCAATAAGGTTTTTTTGTAAAAAAATATATGGTTGAATTATGCATATAACCTTCAATAATAATAATAATTTCTCACAGCATAACTGCAACGATTCCGTTACAAAAACTCCCTCTCTTACAAAAACTCCCTCTCTCTCTTTCACCTAATTCCCGCAATGGCCGTGTGCAGTTCTTTGACACTCTTTCAGCTTCTCCAACTCTTAACTGATACTGCTTATTTTATTTTTGTTTCTTTTATTTTTAAAATTTTCCATTTTAATTTAATTATGCATCATTAAAATATTTATATTTATAAATAAAATATGAAAGTAAAAACAAAAAAAAAAACCTAACTGCCGTACTTCCGGAACCATCATCTGATCAACAGTTAAATTTTTCTTTTTTTTTAAAAATTATATCTCTATAAATAAATAAATAATAATAAAACATATATAATTATTATAATTATATATAAAAAAAAAATCAGTCAGTTACTTAGTTATAACTCCCCTATCTCAACCACGCCCACTCCAAAACAGAAACTGATCCTTCTCCAATGAACAACAGAATTTTTTTTTTTAAATAACAACAAAAAATTTTAATTATAAATAACAGAAACAAACGCGTCTGTAACGAGCAAAATCGTTGTGTCATCGTGCGGTTTTACGGTTCACACCAACAACCCCTTCTTTGAAACCGTTTTATTATCATCTTCTACTCTTCTCCTTAAATCAAATCTTCATTTCCAACATAACACACACTTAACTCTTCTCTCTTTTTCTATATTCTCGTTTTAGTTTCTTTATTTTCCGGTTCCTTTATGGGTTCTTTCAGTGGCTGCGGTGCGGACCGGATCAAAGGATCTTGGAGTCCACAAGAAGATGCTAATTTAATTAAACTAGTAGAGCAACACGGTCCCAGAAACTGGTCATTGATAAGCACCGGAATTCCTGGTCGGTCTGGAAAATCTTGTCGACTGCGGTGGTGCAACCAGCTCTCTCCGGAAGTTCAGCACCGTCCGTTCTCTCCAGCGGAGGATGCTATAATTGTTCAAGCTCATGCAATTCATGGCAATAAATGGGCTACGATTGCTAGACTCTTGCCTGGCCGTACAGATAACGCTATAAAGAATCATTGGAACTCAACTTTACGTCGGAAACGCGCCGCTGAGTTATCTTCGGCGTCGTCTGAGGCGAACTCGGTGATGAAACGGCCGTGTTTGGATGTTTCAACTGAGTCAGGGTCGGAGTCAGGAGTTAAAAGGCAATGCTTAGGTGCACCTCCGGAGGATAGTAGTTTTGACGGGGAGGCAGGGATTGTGGAGCCTGAGACTTCACTGACGTTATCACCACCAGGGGATGGGTTTGTTCGGACAGAAGTAGGCGAGAAAGTGAAGGAAGTGGCAGTGAAAGGCGGAGAACAAGACGTAGATAGGCAGATGGTGGGGGAAGAGGAGGAGGAAGAGGAGGAAACATGTGGGTTGCAGATAGAGGAGACTTGTTTGTTGACTATCATGCAAAGGATGATAGCAACGGAGGTTAGGAGTTACATTGATAGATTAAGGTCTAAAAATGGGTTTGCCGGACCCAACGCTGATCAATAATGGAATACATACATTTACAATCTTTTTTTTTGTTATGTTTAGTCTAAAAATTATTTTAAACTTCACATATAATCAGTGTTTCTTTGGATAATTAGCAATGGATATTAAAATGGAGATTTGAAAATTTTTAATTTCTTGTTGTCATAATGTATTCAACATTATTTACGACAAAGATCATTGGAGTCTGTTATTTAAAAAAAAAAAAAAAGAGAGATTTTACAGATTGAATTAGGAAATAGGTTCACCTAGACAGGTCCATCGCCCCGCGCATGAACAAAATAAAATCATAGACCTGATCTATGATTTCACTTAAGAACCGGTTTAGCAAAGTCGTTTCCTTAAATCGGAGATCGAAAGCTCATAAATTTCTGATGCGCAAAAGAAACAGTTCAATTGATGCTTGCTAGGACATTCGGGTCCAAAGAACAGAATCAGGTGGACAGTTTCTATAGTCATCGTTAAGAGCACTTGATCTTTGATCTATCACCTACCCTATATAAGGCCTTGTCGTTCAAGCATTGTATTGTCAATTCCACAAGTAACTTTTACCAATGGCACAAAAAAAAGAGAAAAATAACATGGTGCTAGAGCCTCTTAAATACCTTAATACTAGCACATTCAAGCACATTCTTTCATGCTCAATCCATCTAAAACAAGTATATCGCATGAAAGATGTGCGTCTCACTTATAATACAAGTAATAGTTTACTCCATTCATTGACTGAAAAAAATTATATCCATCAAAAGATTCAGATAGTTGGATGGTTACATAACAAAACAAGTAAATACTTGGAATATCATATCAGAATTAAGCAAAATCAAAATTGACACAACTCTAATTCTAGTACACAAAGTATGCACGAAGACAACTGTCGAGTCTCGACCTGCTGCGAGGCATATGATACATCCAGGCCAGAGACTTAAAGATAATTCACCTTTATGATACACAACATAAAGCTTCCTTCAAGTTCATAATACCTGTTGATCGGTCAGTTAAAATAGTAGAACTCAAGTTCACACATCACTCCTTGAAAAGCTAAAGCACAAGGCAGCTAAAACCCTACTAAGACTAGTGTAGTGAGATTTACTTATCCCATTCTAATTCAAATAATAGATGCAGGACCCTACTATTAACACCTTCTGTCGCATGCCATCATCGAAGACCCAATGCAGTAAGTATAATTATCCATCTAAAAAGTTAATTAATCTACTTTAAATAGTCTCCAGGGATGGTGATTCTGTTTACGGGTGGAAGCCATTGAAGGTTAAACTTACATACAGACAATAATTAAATCAAATCGGACATTGGTTTCCAACATTGATTCAAGGGGTCACCAAATCATTATCAAGTTACGTTCACCTAGATACACAAGTAAATAGCTACAACTGAAACTGCTCAAGGGGAAAAAGAACACAAAACATCAAAATTAATTGAAAACAAAAGTTTAGTTAAATGCTCATCCAAGAAGAAGATCCCCAAAGACCAAACTTTCTACAAACACGGGACAAAAAAAATGCAAATACCACAACAAAATAGGAGATTAAGCTAATCATTCAGGAAACCACAATAAGCAAAAACACAATCCCATTTCGATAGAATATAATAAAGGTCTAACAAAACTGTGATGAAGATAACATTAAACTGAACTCCATAATGTTAATTAAAGTACTGATAATCCAACAAACTGCAAAAACAAGAACAAACTAAAACGACCGTCGTTTCATATTTTAATCATAAAGTAAAACTACTTGGATCTCTGTCTCATCTTTCTGCGCTTCCTCTTCAACCTTCTCATACGCTTCTTCTTCCACTGATGAAAACAAAAACCACAAAATACAAACAATAAGAAGATAATCAAAAACCAAAGCAAACGCTTAATAAAAGAAATTAAACAAGGTCTCCGAGCTCAGTTTCTTACCTTGGCTCTCATGGTGAAGAGGAATTCAAGCTCTGTTGCGCCTTAATCGAAAACCGTAGCTGCTGTTTCAGCAGAGAGGCTGCGTGTAAGGGAGGCAGGGACGAGACTTTAGGGTTTGTAGCTATTTATATGGCAGTGAAACCCTAATCCGATTAGGCGTTGGGCAACAAACAAGTAAATCGGGCTTGGTACATGGAGGCCCATTGTTAAATGGATTTCTAGTTTAAGCATTATCCAGCTGATACAGCCCATATGCTGATATATTTCACTGTAACATTACCACCATTGCGTACAAATTTTTTTTTTTTTTGAAAACTTTTTTTAGATGGATTCTAAATTCAATTATAATTACTCCTCTAATACTCAATCTCATTCAAATATCCAATTGACACTAATAATATTTTTTTTTAAAACAAAAAAAATCCTAAACATTTACTAACTATAGGATTTTAATTATATAATCATTTACAGTTATTCATAAATTGTTCGATACTTAATTTCAAAAAAATTCGATCAATAAATTTAATAAGTAAAACTCGAGTCTTCTTATCAGACTCAAATCTCAAACTTGTAAATAGATATATTTTTTTTTAAAAAAATTAAATTATAACCGAGCGAAATTAAAATTTAAATATACCTTTATTAAACCAAACCAAACTTGAGGTCAATGGAGATCAACTCATTTATCCCCTATCATCAATACCATACTAAAGCAGTGTCTTTTTAGAAACAAATTTAATCAGCCATGTCTAAGTAATAGTGATAAATAAATGTTTAGTATCTATATTTTTTCTTTTATTATTAAAATTTGAGAAAAATTTAACATAGCCAAGCATTTAAACCAGGCCATCAGATCTCCCCAATACACTCATCTTAGCTCAGAAATGCTAAGTGAAAACTCGGTAAACTATACATTAGCTTGATGTCTATTCTCGAGATAAGAAAAGAAAACAAAAACAATTGAAGAAAAAAATCATATAGCCTCAGTTGTAAAAATCAAATCCAAGCAATAAAAGGCATTGTTGCATATACACTTCTCTTAGTCAAGCTATTAGCAAAATGGTTTATCTCTCGAATCACATAATGAAAGTAGATATTACCCGTGGATTTTAGCATCGCATCAATTGGTTTCTTCTTTATATATATTATTAGGCGCAAAATGGTTTTATTCTCTCGAATCACATAGAAAGTAGATATTACCGTGGATTTTAGCATCGCATCAATTGGTTTCTTCTTTATATATATATATTTATATATATATAATATTATATATATATATATATATTATATAGTATATATATATATATATAGTATATATATAGTTTTTGTTGTACTCAGAGTCTAGGATGTATACCAACAAAGTTAATTATCAATGTTGAAATAATTATACACATATATATTTTGGAAGCAATAGGAACAATTAAGTTTCTATCTAAATTAAATCAAAGATGGTCATATGAATCATTTATTTTCGTTCTATTTTATTTATATTTAAGTTTGACACAATATTATTTATTAAAAAATGATTTTGAAATTGAATGGATTTAGATTTTATCTTATAATTGCTTTCACTTCGTCCATCCCTGCGATAGATTTATTTTTTGTCCCATAATTCTTCGACATTCTCGCTTCTGCTTCGTCCATCCTTGCATAGGATCTATTTTTATCCTATATTCCCCCGATATTCCAACTTTCGCTTCGTCCACCTCTACATGGGTGTTATTTTTTGTCCATAATTCTCCAGCATTTTCGCTTTCGCTTTGTTCATCATCGTGCAAGATTTATTTTTTGTCCCATAATCCTCTGCATTCTCACTTTCGCTTCATCCATCTGTTGGGCATCAGCTCTGATACCAGTTGTTCGGCATTAGCTCTGATACCACCTGTTAGGGAATCAGCTCTGCTACCAGTTGTTGGGCATCAGCTCTGATACCACTCGTTGGGCCCTTTCAACCAATTAAGAGAAAATTGACGCAGCGGAAAAATAGAAATGGGACACACAAATGTGGGACAACACTAGCAGAAACTATACGTGGTTCACCCTCACACTGTTTAGGGCTAACGTCCACGGGGATCAAACTCGAATAATTCTTCCACTATTAAAAAAAATAGTAGATAACAACAAAGAGAGTAATAAAAAATAGTGGCACACAAAGTGTTCAAAAACACCCAAAAATAATTTCCTCACTATTTTTCTCTCCCCTAATTTTAGGAAACCCTTTCTAAAACTAGATATCTCTCTCTACATTTTTTTTTTGTTTCTTCTATTATGTTAGTTTTCTCTTAATTGGTTGAAAGGGCCCAACGAGCGGTATCAGAGCTGATGCCAAACAACTGGTAGCAGAGCTGATTCCCTAACAAGTGGTATCAGAGCTGATGCCGAACAATTGGTATCAGAGCTGATGCCTAACAAGTGGTATCAGAGCTGATGCCCAACAAGTGGTATCAGAGCTTTCTTGCCTTTAGGCAACTTCACCAGCTCAAATGTTTCACAAATGTTTCATCCTCATGCAAGGACATTCATTTCAATCTTGAATGGCTTCAAATCAGTTCCTCTTGTGTTCATTTTCCAAATAGCCTTTTCAAAGCTTTCAGGTTTCTCCCCCCGTTCGTCGTCAGTACATAACTCATCTGACTGGATATCTAGTAGAATGTTTGTCGAGAATCTAGTAGATGGTTGTCAAACTCTACTAGATCTTCTTAATGTTTGAGAACCTTTTTGAGAACCTTCCGGTGCTGGTGGTTGAACATGAACACCATAATCTTCATATGGTTCATTCTGATTAGGAACTTCTGGATTTTCTAACTTTGGCACCTATTCTCGTGGAATGTTTTCTTCATCTCCAATTTGTCTGCATTTTATTGGGGGGACTCTCTCTGTATGTTTGTTGAGTCTTCATCAGATCTATTGACACTCTACTTCAATATCTTCAATAGTCTGATCTTCAACAAATATAGCATCACGATTTCTTCTAATTGTCTTCTGGATTGGGTCATAAAACTTATAGCCACATTGGTCTTAGCCATAGCCAATAAATACAAACCGTCTAGTCTTGACATCATGAAGGCTTTGCAACCAAACACCCGCAAATGATCATAGGAAACATCCTTTCCTAACCATACTCACTCTGGAGTATCATACTGTAGAGGGAAACACTGTAAAGGGAAACAGGGTGAACGATAAACTGCTGTGAGTAAAGATTCACCCCAAATTCTTTTAGACAATTTTGCATGTGAGAGTAAACATCTGACTCTCTCCATCAAAGTTCTGTTCATCCTCTCAGCCAAACTGTTCAGTTGTAGCGTCTTGGGAGGTGTCGGATGGCTACAAATGGTTGACGTATGGCCTGACATGCTGAAATCATAAAAATGTTATACTGAAATATAATCTCATTCTGATGTTGTTTAACAAAAATAATGTTATTAATGTTTACAAGAGCATGATACTAGTTTACAAAATGAAATGGGCATCAACTGTGTGCCCTTCATGCCATAAAAAGGGTAGACAAAAGATACACATTAAGATGATTTAGCTACCCTGAAGACTGAGTCTTCTACAGATGAACTACAGCAGTTGTACGCGGACTCTCTACGGTCAATCTCAAAACCTGCGAGTTAAACAGGTAACTCGCTGAAGCCATAGCTCAGTGGAATCTCCACAAATAAAAGAAAAGAAAGCCAATTAAACACAATAACATGTATAGAAAAAACAATGTAAACACATATGGCACATATAAGTTTTTCGTCACACAACATCATGATACTTTCCATGATACCTTGGATTATCTTGTGTACTGTTATAATACTGTCATATTCATGAAATGTTATGTCAAGATATCTGTATGGCTCATAAGGTTATATGAAACCGCAGTGATAAGAAAAACCTGTATGAAACTGGATGAATAACTGTATGCTTGCTGCTATGGCTGTATCCATCATATCGCATTTCAGAACGGCCTGTAGCCCGGAGTTATCCAAACTGTATGGGGCGCAGATCTGCTATCCTATGTAGATCTGCTATCCTATGTCGCAACATAGCCTTATCTACATGGTTTCTACCTAACCTCAATGGAGCAAAGTGTTGGTATGTCAATAAGATAACACAATAGCATATTCATAGTTCATAATTTCATAATCCATAATGTTCATTTGATATCACATCATTTGTATGCTTAAATGTTGTTTTGATGCATGATTTAATGTTATATTTTTGTATTAAGATGATTGGAGGCATGTAAGTGAAGCAAAGGAATACAATTGCATTGAAAAAGAAGTCCAAAGTGCATGAAAACACAAGTCGCGAGCGCGTACTTTGAAAGTCGCGAGCGCGTAGTGTGCAAAATGGAGACAAGTTAAGTTATCGGGCACAGAGTCGGCGAGCGCCGTACTTTGAAAGTCGCGAGCGCCGTAGAGTGCAACAAGAGAGACAGTGAGTTCCCAGGCCAAATACGCTGAGCACGCGATGAAGGTCCGCGAGCGCTGCAGGCCAAGGGCCAAGTACGCGAGCCGGCGCACTTGCAAATCGCGAGCCGCGAGAAAATGCCCAAATGAGAGTCAGAGAGACATTGCGAGCACAAGTTCCGCGAGCGCGCACTTGAAAGTCACGAGCGCGAGATGTGTTAAAATGAGGAGACAGAGAGTTTCAGGTAGAAGTCGCGAGCGCGCTCATTTGCAAATCGCGAGCGCGAGGTGTGCAAGCGAACTCTTCATGCAATTCGCGCGCGCGCTTCGCCTGCACTTCTTACTCTTTTGGTCATATCCTCTTCAAATATACAACTACCGATTTGGGATGATTCAAAAAAACCCATGTAAGCTAACACATAGAGGAACAAATAACTCTTCTTATGACACTTCCTAATTCCATCCATTAAAATGGGGTCAAAATCAAGATGAAGTTAATTGGTAAAATTTCCCAGTAAACCTGTTTTCAACATAACACTCACCTATTTAACTCATTTATTCACTTCGCTCCCCCTGTTTTTCTGCACTCAATTACCAGTCCTCCACTCAACATGAAGCAATCTTGCCCTCATTAGCACACACACACAAATTCCTCATGCAAAGAAAAGATAAATAAAAAGAGATAATCAAAACCTTCAACTAAAACCGAGCTTTAAAAACTTCTCTTAGCTTCCTTGTTCTTCCTACTTTTGAGCTTCACCTCTCCTAAACATAATCACTCTGATAAATTCATCTAAAAATATCACAAAAAGTATGAACTTTTAAAGAAAAAGCTACTTACTTTGGATAGAGTTCTAGGTTGAAGTTAGTGTGTCAATTTAAATGAAAAGTTGAATGGAGAAAGGAAGGAGATGAAGAGAAAGATGAACAGAGATGCCGAAAGTGAAAGATGAAGATGAAGAAGACGTTTGACTGATTGAAGATGAAGAAAGGAAGAAAGAAATGGAAATGGAAGTCTCGTATACTTTCCACTTCCCAACCATCTCTTAAATGTATGGAACAAAACTAGCCAAAATAAGACCTAAACAGTTTTAATGTTACATTTTAAAATTCCCTCAAACTGTATTGTTTGAGTGCAAGTAAGGTCCACTTATAATCCCTCTACCAACCGGGTTTGGTTTGGTCCGACTTCAACTCGACTCTATGAAAAGACTCGACTCAATAGATGTCACACATCGCTCTCACAAGCGAAACATGTTTTCAGTTGCGGCGTCTTTTTGGGAGGTGTCGTTTGACATGTCGATGCCATGCTCTTTGCAGAAAGCATCAAAAATGGCCAGTGTATTCTCCCACCATTATCCGTCCTGATACACTTCAAGCTCTTGCCTGTCTGTCTCTCAACCACCATGCGTTTAGAAGACTTCAATGTGTATACCCAGGTCCTTTCTAGACTGGTCCTACGAATAAATATCACAAAATACAATTTCCACCATATGACATTGTCAATGTCCACCACAAATCTGAAATGAATCAGATTAATACATTCTTCATTCTAGAAGGAGGGGAATCTTGAAAGCTACTCTGTTTTACTTTTTCCCGTCAATACCTCAGGACAGCTTTCCTGGGTGAACTTCATCCAATCCAGGTTATAGTACGTTCTTTCTTGCCAGAGTTTTCTTACTCATGTGGCGTAGTCAAATGCCACAATTCAACTGTACTGTCATTCTCTGCTACACTCAAAGTGTCTTGGAAGAGTTTCGCATGCATCACGTACATCTTTCAGTCTTCAGCTACCACAAATGAACCTTTTGTGAGCTTCCACTGACCATTTTTGAAGGTGCTACAGAAACCTTCATCATCAAATCTGCCAAACGAGATTTGGACGCATGCTCGAAAGCCTATTCCTCATCAGTCTTGTCTTCCGGTTTAGTTGAACTAAACACAGGCAAATACATTTTGAGTACCATAAGGAGATATATAATTTCTCCATATATGGTAATTCCCGCCATTTAGATTGATCATTTTCTTTGTCCATTTTGACTTGTGCAGAATATCATCACCAACATAAATCATATACGTGAACAGTAGTATACGTGAATAGTGACCATGAATAGTAATAGTAACATAAGACATAAAACTGTTATACGTGAACACCGTAGTATAACCCGTGAATAGTGACATGAAAGTAAACAGTCTATCGGAGATAGTAACTGTTTATTGCGATTGGGAGATACGCCTAACTAAGGATCAGTGCGGTGCTCTGGGCCTTAAACTCGTGAAACCGAATTCAGCCTAAACCCGCCAAAATTGTACTGTTCACGCTTACACATCACTTTGAGTTACTATTTTACTATTCATCACTAAAGTCGATTTTGCACACTGTAGGTTTAAGACCTGGCGTTACAGCACCAATGACTCCCGTCCATACTACATTTTTTCCTCTTCGTCCAAGTACGGTATAGTTATTTTATTTTCAAAAATATCCAACGGTATCCACGGTACCCCAACATCTGATAAGTTGGACATACCGAAATCTTTGGCTCTGTACCACTTGTTAGGATACCCTCGCATAGTCTTTCCGAGCGGACAGCACCAATGGACTCGTCATAATTTTCTCTTCGTCGTGGTATATTTATTTTCAAAATATATCCACGGATCCGGTACCACAATCTGATAAGTTGGACATACCGAAATCTTTGGCTCTGATACCACTTGTTAGGATACTGGCAATAGAATTACGAAAATAATTTTCTGCTGCCGTAATTATTTTCGTAATTCTATTGCCGAAATCCTAACACCATCATTGTGTAAAATTTTTTTTTGCCTGTGATCCTCCGATATTCTCATTTCTGCTTTACCCACTTTTATTGGCATAGCGGAAGTGCTTCCCTCCAAGGCGAAACACTCCCTTTTCACTAATGTCTGAAAAATAGTAGACATTTTGAGATAACTTTCCTTAACATGTTTTGGAATTTATTTTTCTTTTTATTATTTAGCCTTCCATCATCAATGTAATCTAAAAAATATTAAATATTTTGTGATGATTTTTTTTTCTGTATGATGATAAGTCTACTCTTTTTTTCCTCCACTTGGCACCTCCACTATCAATGAGACATAACAATATTGTTTTTGGGTATTTGTAATTAAAATATTTTTAATTCAATGTATGCAAGTTAGGAATCAAATTTTTTTGTTTGAATAATTTTAAATATACACTCTACTAATAATTATGAGATTTGTTTTTTTATCTCATAATCCTCCAACATTCTCGCTTCTATTTTGTCCATCATTGTGCAAGATTTATTCCTTATCTCATAATTTTTCGTCATTCTCGCTTCTACTTTACCCATCGCTGCGTAAGATTAATTTTTTGTGTTATAATCCTTCGACATTCTCATTTCCGTTTCGTTCATTTTCGCTCACACAGGTGCTTCCCTCTAAGGCAGAATCCTCCCCTTTTTCACTAATGTTTGACAAATAGTAGACATTTTGAGATAACTTTCCTTTAACATGTTTTGGAATTTATTTTTCTTTTTATTATTTAGCCTTCCATCATCAATGTAATGTAAAAATATTAAATATTTTGTGATAATTTTTTTTCTATATGATGATAAGTCTACTCTTTTTTTCCTCCACTTAGCACCTCCACTATCAATAAGGCATAACAATATTAATTTTTGAGGACTTATATAATTAAAACATTATTAAATCAATATATGCACGTTAGAGATCAGAATTTTTTGTTTAAATAATTTTAAATATAAACTATACTGATAAATATTTTCTTTTATCATCAATATAGAAATATAATTTTTCATTTGGACTTATCCGGTCAACTTAGTAGTTTAAATAATACAAAATTTTTCGTGCATATGTTCTTTGAGACTCACAAAAAGCCCATCCACCTTGTCATTTACTGAAACGAAAAGCAACACCAAACAAGAGTCTTTGAGAAAATTCGTCGAACGTTTGATATGCATTGCTGGTAATCCTACCAAACCACTGCGTCATCATTTTTTTTATACTATTTAATATTTACTCCAAAAAGAAGAAAAATAACAATAGAAACATTAATTGTCTAATTAATTAAATATCAAATTACAACAAACAAAATTATTGATTACAAATACTCTATATTACGATCTGCATAAACAATAACCATAGACCATATATTAAATTATAGTAACAACAATTCTTCTTCTTCTTCTTCTTCTTTTATTGTGCTTACAGTCTAGGATGTTTACTAACAAAGTTAATCATCAATGTCCAAGTAATTATATATATTTTGGAAGCAATAGGAATAATTAAGTTTTTATCTAGATTAAATTGAAACTAATTATCATACTATGCAGTAATCCTCTAAACATTCTCGCTTCCATTTCGTCCACCCTTATCTGAGATTTATTTTTTGTCCCATAATGCTCCGACATTCTCGCTTCTGCCATCCATCATTGCACAAGATTTATTTTATCACGTAATCCTCGACATTCACGCTTCTACTTTGTCCACTTATACTTGCGAAGATGCTTCCCTATAAGGCGGAACGCTCAGGTGCTTCCCTCTAAGGCGGAATCCTCCCATTTTCGCTAATGTTTGATAAATAGTAGACATTTTGAGATAACTTTCCTTAACATGTTTTGAAATTATTTTGCTTTTCATTATTCAGCCTTCCATCATTAATGTAATCTCAAAAATATTAAATATTTTGTGATAAATTTTTTTTTTCTGTATAATGAGAAGTCTACTCTTTTTTTCCTCCATTTAGCACATCCGCTCTCAATAAGGCATAATAATATTGTTTTTGAGTAATTAAAGTATTTTTAGATCAATGTATGCACTTAGAGTGAGGTATTGTTCTTCCAAGTATTACTTATGATGTTTTAGCTTTTGATGCTAATAATATATAATAACATTTTGCTTTTTAAAAAAAAAAATCAAAGTACGCACATTAGAAATCAAATTTTTGGTTTGAATAATTATAAATAAATACTATAATAATAAATGTTTTCTTTTATCCTCAATATAGAAATATAATTTTTTATTTGTACTTATCCGGTCAACTCAGTAGCTAAATAATTCAACTTTAGTACATTTTCCTTTAGAATAACAAAAATCCCACCCGCCTTGTTGTCACTTACCAAAACAAAAAGCAAGACTAAACAAGAGTCTTTGAGAAAATTCGTCGAATGAGTAATTAAAGTATTTTTAGATCAATGTATGCACTTAGAGTGAGGTATTGTTCTTCCAAGTATTACTTATGATGTTTTAGCTTTTGATGCTAATAATATATAATAACATTTTGCTTTTTAAAAAAAAAAATCAAAGTACGCACATTAGAAATCAAATTTTTGGTTTGAATAATTATAAATAAATACTATAATAATAAATGTTTTCTTTTATCCTCAATATAGAAATATAATTTTTTATTTGTACTTATCCGGTCAACTCAGTAGCTAAATAATTCAACTTTAGTACATTTTCCTTTAGAATAACAAAAATCCCACCCGCCTTGTTGTCACTTACCAAAACAAAAAGCAAGACTAAACAAGAGTCTTTGAGAAAATTCGTCGAACATTTCGCATGCATTGCTGGTTATCTGCCAAACAACTACGTCATCCTTTTTTTTTAATAATTTTATATTTAATCCCAAAAACAAGAAAAATCACAACAGAAACCTTAATTATCTAATAAAATAAGATCAAATTACAACAACCGAAATTATTGATTACAAGACTGCTTATTACAATCTACATGAACAAGTACCGGAGATAATTAAAATTTCAAAAAAAAAAAAAAAATTACTGTGATTCACTCTATTAGCACAGACACAAGAGAAGATGAGTCGTTCCTAAGCGAAGCTCTACAAAGAGGGCAGCTAGACTGAGCAGTAAGCCACCGATCGACACACTCGCTATGGAAAAAATGCTTACAGTTAGGCAAAACCTTAACTTTATCACCATCATCAAATAATCCCAAACATATACAACACTCTGTTTCTACTTCACACCCAGTATTGCTTGAATTCAAATCGCATGACGACGATGACGATGACGATTGGTGCAGAGTTATCGGCAAGGCTTTAATAATTGTGGGGTCAAGGCCCTGAGGTCGAGAAAGAGGCGGGTTGGGCGCGTGCAAACTATGGCGGGTCGGAAAGTGGTGGTATTGGTATCGGCAAACCCACCTGGCATAAAGGAATAGAAGAGTAAGTAGAACTACTATGGCAAAGAGGATGATTATGAAGAAGAGCGTACGACCATGGATTTCGAAGTCATTGTCGTTTAGTTCTGTGAAGTGCCAATGGAACTGTTGGGAGTCGTTTGACGACATTTAGAAGTGTGATTAGAACAAACAACTATGGCAAAGAGGATGGTTATGATGGTTATGAAGAAGAGCCTACGACCGTGGTTTTCGAAATCGTTGTCGTTTAGTTCTTTGAAGTGCCAGTGGAATTGTAGGTGGTTTTGTGATGACATTTGGTGGCGGCCACGGCGGCCTGATGTTGTAAGGGTGGTTATTACTTAGATCTGTGGACTGTGGTGGTGGAATTGGGAAGAGTTCGGTGAAAAAAAGAACGATGTGAGAACCAAAAAGTAGTTAGTAGTACAATTATATATACATCCAATTATATACACAGTCATATACTATCAAAACTATTTTTTGGATTTATGTTTTTTGGCAGCTGTTAGATATTATCAGAGTAAAATTAACTTTAAAAAGTTGATGCGGAATACGGTCTTTATCTGAATTTAAAATAATCTATAAATTAAATTAATGAATAATAAATTTTTGTAAATGAGCATTTACTAAAAAAAAATAATGTGAAAATAACTTTTTAAAAATCTCATTTTAATTAATTTAATTCACAAGTAAACTCATAAATCAAGTCTAGTTAAATTTAATATTTTTCTAAATATTAATATGAAGCTGAACTCATTCAAGATAAATTTAACTCTTTTTTTTATACCGTTTTGATATATAAAAATTACGTGGTGCTTTAAAAAGTAAAGTAAATTTAATTAATAAATTAATATCTCATAGATCCACTTTACAACTATACCCCATCTATTTGAAATGAATATTTCAATATCTTTCCACTTTATTTCTATAACCTTTTCATCTTTTCATTAGTGGCTAATTAAGAATACATTATTTGCCCCTTCATGAACGGTTGCTCATACTCCATAAATCAATTCCACAAGCAATTGACATAAAATAATATACAGCAACAATAATTCAATTTTAATACTAAATTAATTGAAAAAATACTGTATGAATCATTTATTTTCTCTAATAAAATTAATATTAATACGAAGCATTATATAAATCAAAAACATTTTTTAAAATTATTTAATACGTCACTAAATAGGAAAGAGTATACGTTACGTATCATATTTACTTTAATTTTAAACGATGAAAAGAGATATTTTGGAAAAAAAGATAATTTGTTTTTTCAAGCTAAGATATTTATACATGTACTAGATTCTTACAATGATAGCTCCACCCAGAATGTGAAATATGGAAAAAGACAGACATTAAATAGTAAACTTCAAAAAATGTTTTTATAGTGTCCTCTAATGAGGAAATAACCAAACTAATATTGTTTGTTGTATCAAGTATATGGAATTATTTATTTTGTGGAAATTAAAAACAATGTATCATTTTAGTGAAATTGCGAAAATTGGAGGAAAGAATGGTGGTGGGGGTGGGGGCAGGCAGGAGATGGGAAAGGGCAATTCAGTGAGATTTTAGATTTTAGCAAGTGGTTGTCACTTGTCAAATCTCATCTCTTTCAATTCCTGGGAAGTGATCCATGACAGAACTGGATTTTTGTTTCTTGAAATTCCAAACCAACTTGCTTGGTGTGCTGAATAGATGCTTACATGAAATATATATATGGTGTTGGTCCACTTTCGAAATTCCGTCATCTCTTTCAATTCTCTGGAAGTGTAATTTCCTCATTATGGACAGATACTGGATTTTTGTTCTTTGAAAATTCAAGACACTTCTGGTGTGCTGAATAGATGCTTACAGAATTATGTATATGAAGTATTTTATATTAGGTATATATAATATAGTATTTTTATATTTCTGTATATATTTGTTTATAGTTGTATAATCATATACTCCATAAACAAGTGGAAGTGCTTATGTGGGTTTAATTTTAAGAAATCTGTCGTTTTAATTCATTCCTCGAGTGGTGTATTTGCTGTGACTGGGTTGAAATCACACTGGGTCTTAAGTTCTTATATATGTTGTTCTGTTACACCTGTGGGCTTTAGCTAAATACGTTTTAATTAATTATTGGTATAAGTCAAATTCTAAACCGTCCTAACTAGCTAAAATCAATACTCATTTTATTTTAATTTTTTAGAAAAAAAATCAGATCACATCCATGATTTTGTGTGACCTCATTGTAGGAATAAGTATGGACTTATTATTAAGGAGTATTTAGTAGGGTGCTTAAAAGTTCCAAAACCTTATACCTCTTCGTCAATCTTATAATTTTTTTAATATATTTATAAAATTAAAAAATATATAATATCAATATAGCCTGAAAATGAATTGTCGCTCATTTGTATCTCCTTCAGTCTAACATACTGTGTTATTAACGCGTGCCAAATGCAACATTACAATGAGAATCCAAGTATGTTGTAAGAATATGGTCGTCTGTCTATGTATAAGTCCAGACTCTCTATCATTTCTATAGATTTTTATAGCCATAGATTATTAGTTAAGGAGCCGTTTGGAGATGGGTAGATATAGCGTCATGTGATGAGCGGTATATAGGGGAGGGATAGAGGTAGTGGGGTAGATGGTGGAGATAAGTAGATAGATAGTATAATCCACAAACTTTAACCCATGGATGCGAAAGAGCCTGTTTGCACTAGAGGTGCATGATGCACAGCCACCCTACAAGTTTATATTAGGCACCTAATGCAGCTAGGTTCACGCTATATCTGTGGTATGACTTGTTTAGCGACTTGATGGGTAGATAAATTTCGCCGATATATATAACACAAACTGTTACCAGTGTGATGCAAGCTTTTGCACTAGATGACATGATGAAAGCCACCACATTTATCTTACACCTAATGCACAGTTCTCATACTTGTATGATTTTACCTTATGGTTAGATAAATTTCGTCCAAATTTTATTTTTTTTTTTTAAAGCAAAAAGAGCACTATTAGATGTCGCCCCTTCCTGGGAATCGTTGCAGTCCTCATCCCATGACAAGTGTGTCGTGACTCCTAAGCAACAAAATTAATATTTGGTCATCATACAAAGTAAAGAGACACTATTTTGAAGAATTAAACCTGAATCAAGTAGGCGGATGATCAACACCTTTACCACCAGACCACCACCTTAACAACAGAGTCAATATCGCTTGATTTGTTTAAAAGATAATCATCCATATATATCAAATAATTCTGAAAAAAAAAATCAAAATAATTAGGTGAACGATAATACTAGTTACAGGCGGATCAAATCATTCTGCTAAAAATATCCGGATTGAATTTTATATTTTTAGTAACTAAACAATTATTTTTAATCCACTTAATTAAAGTTAAATTTTATTTGCACCGGAGCAACTCATTGAGAATGATAATATGTCATTAAAACAGATTTTATTCACGTCATTTTAATCGGGCACGAGCAAGTATCCACCGAGACGGGTAAAATGATAATCCGTAGACGTGGAGTAGTGTAAGCTTAATTCAAGAGGTGATGAGATGGGCGAAATTAACGACAAATGGAGGGTTTATAAGCTTTAACAAGTGATAATCAAACAGTGTGTATAAGCTTTCATCATCTTTTCAAAACTCTCATCTTATCCAACCCATGATTGAAGAGAAAAAGGGACATAAAAACTCATCTATGAAATTACAGTTTGAGACTCATGGGCTATCTACTTGGTCCTACAACAATTACATTAGAAACAGAGTAAAAGAAGACAAATAATGTCGTGGAACAGAAGAAAAAAAAAAGATTATCTACTGCTTTTTCTTTCTTTCTTTCTTTCTTCTAATTGATATGAGGAATCACTTTGTCTCCTTTATGGGTACATTTGGATGAGGCTTGGACTCGAGAGATTGGTTGCTCTTTTTCCAGCTTAATAAAGTGGTATACAGGGCGGAAATCAAAGTAGAGTTTGCACGAGTAAATGTCATTTTTTTTTTTAAAATGTATTTTTTTCAAGTTTCAGGGAGTAAAATGTAATTTTATACAAAGATTTGCAGGTGACCTCTCCAAAGCTCCACCTAGTTTCCCAGAACTAAATTTTTATGAATAAAAAATATTTGTTAAAAAGACAAAATTATTATTCTTATATTATATATATAAAAAAGGAGTAAATTTTGATGCTGGTTTCGAACAATAGGAGCCTTCACCTCCCGGATATTTGTTTTCTTTTTATCGTTCTACTTAATGGTATTCCAGTATTAGTTAAACATATAAATATTTTTATATATATATAATATATATATATATATAATATATGCTTGTGTATAAATTTTACCCATTTCTATTATATTAAAAAAAATAGTTTTTGCAATTTATCAAAAAATAATTTAAAAACGGAAGTGGAATTACTTTATAAATTCTTAGAAATTTGCAAGGACAGTGATATAAATAGATTTTAGAATAAGACGCAACTTGCTCCCTGAACTTAAACACAATATATAATTAATTTTTTTGTACAGTTTGCCTATTTAACTTATATCAAAGGAACAAAATATCCAGTTTTAAAGAAATTTTTTTTATAGTTTTAACTAGGAAAAACTACTTAAAATTAAAAATTAGAATAAAAAAATTATTTAAAAATATATAATAATTATAAAAATTTACAATATTTGACTAAAAAATAATTTAATAAATATTTTGTAACATCCCTTCCAGGTTCACCCATTAACCCAAATGAACCGAGCCGAGACTCTACAATCTGGTTGAACCTATGTCCTGTCATGCTGATATCATCCTGTTACTGCGCAGGGTTCACCCATTTAACCCAAATTGGAGAAAGTCTCGCGCAGCCGAGACTCTACAATTCTGGTGAACCTATGTCCTGTCATGCTGATATCAGTTCCTGTATGCTACAATATTATGTTCATGGCTTTATTTTGTTTTTACTTAGTAGGTATAAATAGATTGGGAAAATCATAACATAAAAAACCCTAATGGGTACTCTCTCGCTGGTCAGCATAAGGAAGATGCTTGTCAGGACTTCACTTGCCCAAGTTAAAACGTCCAAACTTTTCAACATCTCCAAAATATTCATCAACTGTTGAACACTAGTGGTATATTTCAATAACTGTAATAAATCCCAATAACATTTTAATAATCCATCAAATTAAATTTGCATTCATCTTATAAGCTCATATCAAGTCTTAGTTTAGCTCTACTTTATTTTTTTGTAAAAATATTTCATATCAATCATTTAATAATATTATCTCGTCATTCCATATACTGTGACGCCGCAAAATTTAATATTATTGTGCTGTCTAATTTGGTAATAGGGATTCGGCTTCAAACTTTGAAAATTCAATTTAGTGATTTTACAAATATGGAGAAGTCTACATGACTAAAATTATAGGATACATAAAT